TCATGAAAAGAAACTCTAATAACAAACAATCATGGAGGCAAAAACACTCCTGACAGGCCAAAAATTGAGAGGCGCAGGCCAGAAAATAGTAGTTTCTTAGCAAATTTAGTTTTACAGTTGTACCTTATTTCATATAGTTAACATTTTTCCAAATTTTTAAACTAAGTCTATAAGCACCCACTGTAAACGACGAAACCTTAATTTTCTCCAAAGAAACAAACTTTCTAGGTATAACTATTACCAAAGGCTCAAATGGATAAAACATAGGCAACAATCTGCATAAAACCAATGTACTAAACATCGGCCAGAGATTATACAACAAAATCCGTGGAATAAACCCAAAGATAACGAATTGTTTATACACAAGAAGGGTCAGACCTCTGGCCACATATGTAGGTCTAGTATGGCTGATAAAAACATTGAACAAAGTGGCCTACCTCAGTCTTAACCGTCACTGGCAAAAGCTTGGTGGCTTCAGCCATACTACGTAATCAGTTCCTAAATACAAATCCATTCACACTCTCACTCACTTAAATATGTTATTTCTTACTTACACACCATTCAGTTAGGGTGATGGAGTAGTCAATATTCCATCACGATTTTCATCTGTTATATAACTAACCTGATAGAGGGTTGATGGGATACTTAATAAACAAAAAAACGAGATATCTGTAAAGTATTGTCTACAGCAAAACAGTCCTGTTTCATCTAAAAATTATAACCCAAATACTCGCTGCTCTGCTCAAACAAAATTCTTAGATTGGGTGGCAATCTGAAACGCTGTTTTATGGAGCCAAGGAGTGGGAACCAGCCACTTTTTTCTACATGATTCGGAAAATTTGGTTTATATACTATTATTTTTGTATTCTGTTTGTTCTCAGCAAACGAAACATTCCCCATTATTATTTTGAATTTTTGAAAATTACAATAAATTTAATCACCGTCGACGTAAAGAGTGTTTATTTTTATTTATTTGATCTATGTGCGTTTGAAGAAGAATAAAGTTAGATGGAGGATAATTGATAACGAGCAGAAATACTCGTGTACAAAAGAATTTAACCTACATTTCTTACAGCTAGTATTTTCCTGTGTTTTGCGTGCACCCCTGAAACGGGGCGAGTCATTACAGCCGATTTTCGCTGAACTATGAAAAGTGCATGACCTTAAGCTATCCATTTCGTTTCAAGGCCTTTTCTCCTCTCTAAAACTCTTTTTCAAAAACCAATCGGGCCTATTTTAAGACAAACGTTACATTAAAATTATTGAAAAGGCCGGCCTCAAAGAACAGGGCTTTTTAAAGGGTGAAGTACTTTTAAGATTCATTTATCCGGGGGAGGCCGGTTTTCCGTCATTTTCTTGCCAAGCCCCGGGCGCATTGTGAACGCTAAACAAAGCACGTTAACTAGTAATTGCTTTCCGGCACAAGGCTGAAAGATCAAAACGATTTAGAAATTTCATCTCATGGCTTTACAATGAGGAATTTTCACCCGTACAAAAATATACCATCTGAAATTATAAAAAAATATTTGGTCCAGATCGACAGATAGGTCCTCATTAAAATAAAAACAAAAGAACGTACAATAAACGAACTGATTTTAATGATAATTGAACCGTGTAAAATATTCAAGGCTAAGAAAAATAACAGACAAATCACTAAGATGGCGAAAACCTGTAACGCTTCTCAAATAGCGACGATAGGCGGACCAGCTGTTCATATCTGTGTTTTACTCTGTCAGAAGCATTTTAGCATTTCATTCATTGCTTAGCCAGAACAAACTGAACGGTAATGATCAAATTATAATAGCATCCTGTTAAAATATTTGCTTGATCACTTTACTTGGCCCGTCTACTTTTGTGGTTTACGGCTCAATCAAATGAGTTTCGGCTTCACGCCATTTTCAGTGAGGAACCGTGAAGATTCCCAGCGATTGTCAGACCGACAACCATCACCAAATTTACTTCTTGGTCCGCCTATCTCCGTTCGTTTGGTATGTCAGAAGAATTTTTGGCTATTTTCACTGGATATCAAAGACATAAGATGGGTGGGGTACTGAGACGAGTCATATGAGTTCAGGTCATATTAGACGCCATCTTCAGAGAGTACATCCAAGAAACTTTCAGACCAATAAATAATCCCAAATTTACGTCTTGGTTCGCGTACCTTTACTCGTTCGGTCTGTCAGATGTATTCCGTGTTCCCCATTTTCACTAGTTTTCAGGGTCATAAGTTGGGTGGGGTGCTTAGACGGGTATAATATATATATATTTGACTGAGTCGTCTATTTCCATTGGTTAACGTTTCACGTGAGTTCCGACTTCTCGTCATATTCAGTGAGCATCTCTGAAGATTTCAACGGTTAGGCTAACCACGTCACCAAAATGTACATATTGGCCTGCGTATCTTGGCGCGTTTGGTCTGTCAGACGGATTTTTCCGTTTACAATTTTCACTGATTGTCAGGATCATAAGCTGGGTGAGGTAACAAACTCGCCAAATCAGTGAGGATAAACATACCAGAATCGTCGGATACTAGAAATGTCACAATTTAAATTTATTTAGAACATTAAATCTATAATAATGTAAAAAATATGGCCTGCAACAGCGAATATCGTAATTATTCCTATTGTAATTATTATGAAAAATTTATTATTGTTTTATTTATTAATTAATTATTGTAAATTAAGTTTAAGTTTAGAAATAACAACAAGTTTGTCAGAATATATAGATTATCCGTAGATGGACACAGAAGGATACAGATAGTAGGACAAAGGGTAAGAGCTAAACTTCTTAATCTCCAAACTTCTAGGAACAACATTCCAAGTAGAAATACATGTGGAAAAGCTAAATATAACCTAAGACCATCAAAATAAATATTTATTTCATAAAAATTCTTTTCTTGCTTTGGTTGAAAAGTTTGTTTTGGTATTTCGAATTGAAAAATACTTTTTAATGAGATCAAAAGTGCTTTTATTCTTGGAAAACCATTCGTTTATGCCATTTGGGCTTCATTGTTCTGAAAAGTCTAAAAATAAACGGATTTAGTTTTTTTTATTGAAACGGAGTTTAAGGCTTTTATTGTAGCCTGTTGGGCCCCATTTGCATCTTATTTAAAATCTTTGGCTCTGGGTCTTCACTTCGTCTCTGAATAACGCCTCCTCACGGTTTCACTTTTATTCAGATTCTGCAGTTCGAGGAAAAAAAACAGAAATTTGACGCTAATTGGAATTGTAATAAATTAGAGCTCGAGGATTCTTTTATTTATGGCAAAATAACTCGGTCTGTTGAAACAAAAACTAAAAGTGAAAGATGGTTTATTCTCGGGTTCGAATCTAGCATACTTACATACATATTTACAAATGCGCTTTTTATCAAAAACACCGGGACCCTGAGGGTTCATCTGTGAATCCTTGTAAAAATTGATTGTACATTTTGGAAGACTTTATTTGGTATTTTTGAAAAAAAGACCATTTGTATTATGTCGGGTTCGAATGCAGAGCCGCTGGATTTGAACCCGGGACTTTCATGTTACAGTGACGAACGCCGTCTCGAAGCCTAAGCCGTTGCGACCAAACGCATTATAGTTTTTTTCAGTTCAATTTAGCCTTTTTAAACTTAAAATTAACCTTTTTCTATTTCAATTTAACCCTTTAATTTGAAATTAACCTTTTAATTTCAAATTAAACTTTTAATTTCAAATGAACCTTTCTTCATTTCAAAATAACCTTTTTAACTTTAAATTAACCTTTTCCATTTCAATTTAACCCTTTAACTTCAAATTAACAATTTTTTCATGTACTCCTTTTTAACTTCAAATTAATCTTTTTCAAATGAAAATTTGCCTTTTTTCACTTCAAATCCACTAATTCTAATAAATTATAGCTCAAGGAATCTGTTATTTTTGGCAAAATATTATGATCATCATTAAAAAAAAACTAAATTTGAAATACTGTATATTTTGGAAATATTTTATTGACTTTATCAGAAAAATAGCGACACCTTTATAATGGATTTTGCAGTTTTATCTATTCATGTTATTTAATAGTAATAAAAATATTATAAATTTATATTAGGATTTTTTGTAAAGTCAGTTTAAATGTGTTCAACCTTAGACTAATATATAGGCGCGATTTTGTAAAAAATATTTACATGACAGATTGCAGATTAATGTTTACTCGTAATATAATTAATATTATATATATTTAATTACGTAAATATAATTAGATTTATTATAGTCTTATTTCGCTTCGCGCGCCTAGGTAGGTTGGCCCGCGTCTGAGATGACAAACATATCTGACTAATGGCTCTACCAAAGCAAAAAAGCCTGCTTATAACCCTGACAAGTGCAGAATATGGCGACGGTCGACAAGACGACCGACTGAAACAGCGGCAATATGCAAACCAGCTGTTTATATCTGTTCCATTCTAACAGAGGCGTTTCGAAATTCTTACCGGTCGTCAGGGGTATAAGCAGGTCGAGATACGATCACAAATTCCGCACTACAGAACGTCAATGATATGATGATCAAGAAAGGCCTGTTACATGACCACGCTGACTTTATGAAAAATCTTACAATTTCTAAACTTTGTTCTACTCAATTTGAATACTTATTATACTAATTGTAAGTGTAACTGAGTTAATACCAGTAAAAATTAGAACGACCCAATAGGGGTCAAATTATTTGTACTTTTCGGCATTTCCAATCATCTTGGTTTGTCTAGCCTTGCTGTCAGAAGGGTTCTTTCAGTTGGCCTTATTTAGAGCTAGTCAGGGTTATAAGCAGGGCGAGGCACCTTTAAAAACCTATCATTGATGATGGCAAAGTATCTGGCAGATCCAAGACAGTCCAAATAATAGAAAATGACCAAAGCTACAAATATACAATCTGATTGTGTTAAAAAATCCGACCTACTAACAAGATCTTCTGTCAATTGTAAATCCAACATTGTTATCTACATATTTACCTTATATAAATATATTATAAAAATGTTTTGCTACTTACATGGAGGAATGTTTTTGTTGTAGTCTGGCCCAAGTGAATAGAGTTCCTTGCAGGATGCCGCGTACAGGAAACTAAGGGAGACAAAACACTTAGAACAAAGAGCAAACATTTGCCATCATTTTGCTGTGATTTTTTAAGAGTGGGACAACATGACATCTCGTTGAATCATTTATTGGCAAGGGGGTCAGGATAATCATTCCTGGTAATCCCCATCCTTGCTGGCCGGTATATTTTCAACGTTAGTCTTGTCCAATACGGAGTGTGGATATTTTATGGAAATTTCTTTTATGAAAGAAGTTCGGCTCGTTTGCGATTTAGGGACAGGCGGGCACAGAAATTTTTTTCCAAAATGAGATTAGATTAATATTTCTTGAAAAAAAAGTGACTGTTTTTTAGTTTGGGTTCAACGTTGTTAAATTTTACGTTTTCTTTTAAGTTTTATTGATTTAAATTTTATATTTCACATAAAATTGGATTGACAAAAATGCCAGTTTTTTGCTAAAATCTACGGGCATACACAATCTTTCTTTTTTTATACTTTATCTCCATTTTTCTTTCACCCTCTCTATTCATTCATATTGCCATGTACAATTAACTATAGTAATTAATCCAGGCACCTAACAAACCGTAAGTATGTGTAAGTGGAAAATCCTTTCCCTCTTAAAGCTGGGATTTTCTCCCTCTTGAAAAAGGTAGGTAATTTTCAATTAAAGCTTAAACTTGAACCTGTGAGCGTCCTAAGACGAAATTAGCTCGCTTTAAACTTGACAAATCACCCCCGGCCAACCCGCTCATTAGCTTAAGTAACGCTTTATCGTCGAACGATTCGATTTTTCCGTGTTTCATCGGTGTTTTACTTTCTCGTAAAGAGCAAATTTACGCTTCGTACCATATCGCCGACGAGGTTTGCACTGTTGATGATTGCATAATAATTGCAGCTAAAAAGATAAAAGTTAAATAAAATTTATAATCAAGCAAGATTATAAAATAGTAAGGGAAAACTTAAAACCGACACTTTATTTCGAACAATCCAATACGTTTTTATTTACTGGCCCATCCTAACTTTTTGATGCTCTCTTAGAAATATTTAAGTACTTAAAATGACTACTAAGTGAAAATGATTACAACATCGAACATTTTTATAAGTTTTTAACAAGCTTAATTTAATACAAACAATCATCATCATTTTGTACACTTTTCTTAAAAATAAATTAGTTAACTCTGAAACGATATTGTTTGATCCACTCTTAATTTACTCAGTTCGTATTAATTTATGACAAAATTTTCATTTTCATGTATTTTAAGAGTGAAGTTTCTAATTTATTTTTGTCAACTAAACATGAGTTGCAATTATGTTCACACTTTTTTAGGGCATTTTTCTGTCAAATTAACACTTTTTAACTTCAAATTATCCTTTTTTCATATCACATTAACCCTTTTTAAGGGGGGCGTCGGTGGCCGCAATGGTTTAGGCGTTGACGCGGCGCTCATCGCTGTAAGATAAAGGTCCCGGGGTCGAATCCAACGGCCCTGCATTCGAGCCCGACATACTTACAAATGGGCTTTTTTTTAAAAAACACCGGCACCTTTTTTGGGGGGGTTTATTTGAAACCTGCTGTTGCGAACCCTTGTAAAAAAAACCTTTTTAATTTCAAATTACCTTTTTTTGTTTCAAACTAATTGTTTTAACTTCAAATCTTCAAATTAACCTTTTTTATTTCAAACTAACTTTTTAAACTTAAAATTAACCTTTTTTCGTTTCAAATGAAACATTTTTAACTTTAAATTAACCTTCTTTAGCTTCAAATTAACCATTTTTCATTTCACATTAACTCTTTTTAACTTCAAATTACCTTTTTTCAAACTAATTCTTTTAACTTTAAATTTACCTTTTTCATTTCAAATTAACCTTTTTAACTTCAAAATCAACCTTTTTCGTTTCAAATTAACCATTTTTAACTTCAAAGTGATCTTTTATTGTTAAAAAATTAACTGTATTTAAAGACAAATTAACTTTTTATTCATTGCAAATTGATCTTTCTAACTTCAAATTAATCTTTTTTTAGTTTCAAATGAACTCTTTTTAACTTTAATTTATTCGTTTTTTATTTTAAATTAACATATTTTCACTTGAAATTACCATTTTTTAATTTTAAGTTAACCATTTTTCAATTTAAATTACCCTTTTTTCATTTCATATTAATGCGGTAGAAGGAAACAAAATGCTATAAAATTCGAACAACTTGCCTCGCAGATTAATAATTTTGAAGAAGGTTAAACTGATTATTTATTATCTTATACCTTTCAATTGTATGAATGTAACAGGTCAATAAAAACATGTATTTTCATGGGTGTTTTTAATTTACGAGTTTATATTTAACCTCAGTGTTTATGTGTTTTTGAAAGAAAAGTCTATTACTGTAAGTACTTTGGGCTAGGGACTGTCTCGAATTCAGGGACGCTGAGATTCGAACCCGGGGCCTTTACAGTGTTGAGTCGCCGTTTGAACGCTACAAACGTTACGAACAGCGAGGCATCCTTAGTAGAAAATTTATGAAATGATTTATTATTATTTGGTTAAAAATTGTCAAGAAAAGGTGCAAAAAACGGACATTTCTGTTCTTAAATCGCAAACGATACCGACATGAAGAATAAAGAAAGCAATATTGTCAAATAACAAAAAGTACAATAAAACAAAATCTTCAAAAAAATTGTTTACATGGTAAATCAAAACGCATGCCTTCACAACATTAGCACAGATATAATTTTTTAAAACAAATTTCAAAAAATCTGACTAACCTGGATTGTGACATGCCTGTAGGTAGGTGCAGAGATATAATAGATAATATAGAGATATAATGCACATACAAGGCGAGCCTCCGAGTCCTGATAACAGAAAGTTACCCCAAATGTACAAAAAAACACTGAAATACAAGTAATTATGTAACACAGTGATGTATGTGACCGGGATTTCTACACCACGTGTATGTTTTCATCCTCCTGGTGAGGCTACTTTCACGGTTTCTACTTGTGCGGACTCGTGGACCAACTGCTGCCATGCAAGCAGTGTTTCTAAAACGCATTCTTTTTATTGTTTTGTCTTTTGTGGTTTGTTCGTTTCAATGAAAAGCGTGCTGTCTTATGTTTGTTAAAACTTTTTGACAAAGTTAATTTGTTATACGAAAGTAGTTTTCTATGGCAAAAAATTGTACTGCCTTTGTTACAGTATATTTTTCGAAAAGAAATTTCATTATGATTACTCAGGAATATTTAGTATTAGTTAACGCCTATACGGCAAACTTGTATAAATCAGAGCTTTTAAACTCATTACAGAGGATTTGCATATATAAACCATAAGGGATGTTCATAATTGAGATTATGAAAGGCCATCCGACATGCATAGTAGCGTTCAAGCGAAACGGAGCGTGCTAAACTTTGCTGATGTTGTCGAGTGCTTAACTATTGGTATCGTCCCTGAAATATTTAAACAGCCTTCGAAAAACATATTTTTTCTTTATTTTTATGGATGTTTGAAATTATTAAATAATTTGTTATGTTTGATAGTTTTCGGTTATTTTGATTTGCCTATCCTAGTTGTTTTGGTTTGTAGGGTTACCTTTTGATATTTCCAATTGTTATACAGCGGGCTTAACGCTTTCTTTTCTATATTTTTTTTCTTAATTAAAATTCATTGGATGTGCAGTGTTTCCAACACAAAACCTTTAGTGTAGCAAATACGAGTCGGTCTATTTTATGTTAATAATTTTTAAGATAGCGAAAATCTGCAGTGATGGGCTTATGTCGATGCCTCACCCTGTTTATAGTCCTGACTATCTGAGCGTGGCGTAATGCCACAAGGCGTATAAATAAGCAAAGTTAGACAAATCAGTTTGAACGAAACAAAACAAAAAATAACTGGACTTAAAGACAATTAAACTTATTAGTGCAAACAAATTCAATATAACGTTGTTATAACGTAAAAATTGTAAGATGTGATCATTCAACTTCACGACATCTTCAGTAAGGAAGTGCGAATACTTCCAGCGACCCTCGGATCAACAACTATCACCAACTTTGAGTAAATTTTATAGTTTAGTCGATTTCCGTTGTCCTGGTTTAGTCTGTCGGTTGTATTTCATTTTGCCATTATAAGTTATAGGTTTGTGAATATTCCTCGAACTGCCCCTGACAACCAAAATGCGGATGAATATTTGACAAAGAAAACAAATGAAAAAAGGTCAAGGGCAAAGGGTTGCACTCAAAATAGTAGAAACGAATTTAAAATAGTTCTAACTAATTCATCAACCTTTCAGTCGGACATGCAAACCTAACCTATATAGACAACGGCACGATCCAAATCTTATTTTTTTAAGATCATGTAAACAAGAGGTTTTTGAAGAACTACTAGTAAACAAATTATGTAATAGTTTTAAACTAAGAAAAAAGGCTTATGTAATCGAATAAATAATATAAATTGGTTTGTATAGGCGATCTAAATATGCAAATCTAACCTGTACGGGCACCCCACAGCCTGAAATCTATTTTTCATATCCAGGCAAAAAGTAACAATTGTAAAGTAAGTTTAAAACAAATGAGAATCTTAGAATCTTAGACAGAAGAAAATTAAACTTGTTCGACAATTAATTCAATTTCATTTACACAATCAAAGCAAAACTAACCTGTACAGGCAACAGCACAAAAAATAGAAATGTTTCCAAACGTTTGCTTGAAGAGCAATCAGGTAAAAGTAAACAATCGTAAAGCAGTTTTACGCTTAGTGCAAGACTTATTTAGAAACAAATTAACCTAATTTCAAAATTAATTCAATTTCGTTTGAACAAACAAACAAACAACATTTCAGCAAACAATCTAATTAAAAAAATTAAAATGTTGACCAGGCATTTTTTAAAGGACAGTCAGGCAAAACAATTATAAAGTAGTTTTAACAAAATTGAGTGTTTTATAAAAGAAAATTAAATTAATTCGAGAAATAATTTAATTTTATTTCTTCATTTGTCGCAAACATAACCTGTACATATATCACAACTGCAAATCTCAGGTTTTAATAAAAACGTTAACAATAAGTTTCCTGACGAACCACTAGAAATAAAAAAGAGCGATTATAATGTATTTTTCAACCAAGTGTGAGCATTATTTAGAAGAAAATGAATCTAATTCGAGAAATAATGCAGTTTCGATTCCATAATTGTTGCAAACCTAACCTGTACAGACCATTTTAGTTGAAATGTTAATGAACTTTCTTGAAGGACAACAGGCAAAAATAAACAGTTGTAAAGTAGTTACAGCTACAGTCGCTAGAACTTAACCTGAACAGACAGTACATGCTTAAGTCACAGCTATTACATAAAAGGTACAAAAGGTTTCTTGAAAAACAACCCGTAAAATAAGCAATTATGAAGAATTTTTCAACCAAGTGAGACCCTTACTTAGAAACAAATTAACCTAATTCCAAAATTAATTAAATTTCGTTTGAACAAACAAAAAACACCTTAGCTTTAGTTAAAAAGTTAATGAACTTTCTTGAAGGACAACAGGCAAAAATAAACAGTTGTAAAGTAGTTACAGCTACAGTCGCTAGAAGTTAACCTGAACAGACAGTACATGCTTAGGTCACAGCTACTACATAAAAGGTACAAAAGGTTTCTTGAAAAACAACCCGTAAAAATAAGCAATTATAAACTAACGACAAACCACTAGAAATAAAAAAGAACAATTATAATGTATTTTTCAACCAAGTGAGACCCTTATTTTGAAATAAATTCACTAATTTCGTGATCAGCTTGACAATTCGAATCCCGCTCGTGCCATTGACGTTTTTACCTCAACTAAAAACCTTAATTAATTTTGAAATAAGTTAATCCAATTCAAGAATTAATTCAATTTCGTTTTTATAATTATTCAGAAATCGTGAGATGCTGTCTGGTGTGATGTAGGTTTCAGAAAAACATTTTCTTTATCGTGCCAACGTTTCGATCTTTATTGAGATCGTCTTCAGGGCTCAAAGTGTTTGTCTTCTGTGTAATTGTGCCATTCTTGCGTGTCGTGTTGAGCCCTGAAGATGATCTCAATAAAGATCTAAATATTGGCACGATAATGAAAAAGTTTTTCTGAAACGTACATCACATCAGACCGCATCTCACGATTTCTGAATAATTATCGATTAACGGTCACTAATCACCACACATTTCGTTTTTATAGTCGATGTTAACCTAACCTTTATAACAACACAACTTTAAATTTGTTTAATAATTAAAAAAAGTTTACAAAAGGTTTTAAGACAGATTAGGCAAAAAGTAACAGTTATAAAGTATTTTAAACTCACTGAGTCTTATTTACAAAAAAATTAATAAGTACGACAATTAAATTCGTTTCAAACGTCCTAGAAAACTAGAATAACTTGTACAATATAGCCAGAATCAGATTTTGAAACAAATCAGAATTTTTCAGGAATTGGCTAAAAAAAGTAGCCTTAAATAAAGTGTGGGCTTATTAAACAACCAGAATTTATTGAACTAGTTCATTTATTATAATTTCATTTCTATAGGCAATCTGAACATGTAAAAATAACCTATACAGACAACATCACAACCTTCATTCTCAATTTTTTAAAATAAACTTTTACAAAAGGTTTCTCGACGAAACAAGAAGTAAAAAACGGCAATTTTAAATTACTTTTACACCAAGCGAATGTCATATTTGCTATAAAAGTAGACTAGTTTGACAATTAATTAATTTTCGTTTCTACAGTCGATGCAAGCCTGACCTATACAGACTGTATAATAACCTTTTATCTCAGTTTTTTGAAATAAAAACGTTACTAACATCACTACCTATAAAGACAATGTACAATTTTATTTATTTATTTGAATTTTGATAAAAACGAGGGCCAATTAAAAACATTCTTTAATCTGAGCATGTAAACATGACCTGTATTGACTACAGCAGACATAAATCTCTAAACTGGTTTCTTGAAAGATGGATAGGAAAAAAATTATAAAGTAATTTTAAATCAATTCAAAGTATTGAAGAAAAATTAAACTATGTAGTTGAAATATTAATTAATTCAATAACGTTTCTACAGTCAATACAAACCTAACCTGTACAAACAAATCCGAAGCTATACATCTGATGAAAAAAGTCACAATATTCCATAAGGGATTTCTTGGTGAACAACCACGCAAAAAGTAATAAGTAGTTTTAAACGAAATGAGGGAAAGAACAGAAAATACGAATATAAATGAAAAGAAGGGGCAGAAAAAATAAAGTATTACATCGTTCTTAACATGCAAACATAACCTCATATTAATTTTCTAACTGCACACTTCAGTCATAAAAATTATCAGCTTTAACACCTTTTGAGGCTGGAGCTATGTGATTTTTTTATATTTTTCTTATAACAATTGTAAGACAAAAGTCTGTTAATTTAATCGTTATATTGCGTAAGTCCAAGGCACGTGCAAATTATAGCATCTTAGTCATTATGATGTAATCAAGACTAAACGGAGAATAATCTTTATTCCGACATCGTCTATAAGTAGATTGTCACCAGTCTACTCGGGAAATTGCTTTGTCAGTCGTTATTTGAATTAACCTGCCTCTCAGTGACAAATTGGGACGTATTTCCGGCTGCGGTGGCCCAAATAAGCCCGAAGCGAGTCTTCATTCCGCCTACTGAAAGGATCTGAGGAAGCGCCAGTCACGGAAATACACAAACGAGGTTATACGCGACACGTGCGTGCGGTTTTATTGGTTTACCGATTTTGAAACAATTTACGATAAACAAAAAGGGCTACGAAACGTGTGATGTACATTGATGGTTGCTATTATGACAATTTGTGCAATAAATTTGAATTTGTGTTTCAAAT